AATAAATAATCAAAAATGGCTTATTTGCAACATTTATTCACCAAATGGAGCAAAGAGTAAATTCATAAAAAATCTAAAAAGAGAAATAGATAAACAAAGTTGGGAAGAATTAATAATTCTGGGAGATTTCAATGGAGTGGTGGATATCAATTTGGATAAAACGGATAGTAAAACAGAAGGGAAAAGGAATCAAAACAAAAACAGCCAACTACCTAAAATCTTTAAAACACAATTAGAAAAATTAAACTTGCAAGATACATGGAGGCAACACAATGAAATAGCAAGAGACTACACATACTTTTCGGGCAGACACGCTACGTGGTCAAGAATTGACATGGTATGGGCCACAAATTCGTTAAACTTAAGAACAAAAAAAATAGAGATACTGCCCAGAACCGTATCAGACCACTGTGCTATAGAACTCTTAATTAAAGGAAGGGAAACAATATATAGATGGAGATTAAAAGACTATTTATTGAAAAAAGAGATAGACATTGGAAAGAATAGGGCACTCCTGAAAGAATATCTGGAACTAAATAAAGGGGAAGAGACATCTAAAAACACACAGTGGGAGGCCATGAAAGCCGTCATGAGAGGATATTTCATGCAACAAGATGCGGCAAACAAAAAAAATAGAAATAGGGAAATCAATGAGATTTTAGGGAAATTAACAGATAATGAAAACTTACTGAAACAAAATCCCAATAATAAGAAAAGAACCCTCATAAATAACGCACTCAGAAAACAACTGCAGCTACTCCAAAATGAAAACTTGGAGAAACAATTGAAATTTGCAAAACTAAATTACTTTCAAAACGCAAATAAAGTAGGTAAATGGCTATCAAACAAAATTAGAAAGCAAAAACAAAAGCAATTGATTACCAGAATCCGAAGTAAAGATAAAACATATACTGAAAACCATAGCATCTTTAAAGAATTCATCACATTTTATAGAGATTTATATAAGGGCCCAGAAACGAACAAAGAAAAAATAACAAAATACCTATGTGAACTTAACATGGCAAGATTAACAGACGAACAGAGAGGCCTCCTGAATGGGACAGTAACAATATGTGAAATTGATATGGCCATCAGAAAACTAAAAAACAATAAAGCTCCCGGACCAGATGGCTACACAGCCATCTTTTACAAAACTTTTAGAGAGGAATTAAGTCCTCTCTTCCAAAAGATTGTAAACAAAATAATGGAAGAAGGGAACCTGCCAAAAACCTGGGAGAAAGCAAATATTGTACTAATACATAAGGAAAATACAGATGCAACCGAAGTTAAAAATTATCGGCCGATATCACTACTAAACAATGACTATAAAATTTTTACATTGATTATAGCAGAAAGGCTAAAAAAATTTCTAAAAGAATGGATATCCAAAGAACAATCTGGCTTTCTCCCAAACAGGCAAATTAAGGACAATACTAGGACCTTAATCAATATAATTGAATACTATGAAAAACATAATGATAAGAAATTGGCACTACTTTTTGTCGACGCCGAAAAAGCATTCGACAAAATCAATTGGGGGTATTTAAAATTGTTAATAAAAGAGCTAGACACAGGTTTTCAATTTAGGAATGCAATTGAGGCAATTTATAAAAACCAAGAGGCCACTTTAATAATAAACGGACAAGAAAGCAAACAATTAATACAAATCTCCCGTGGTACCCGACAAGGATGCCCACTCTCCCCGTTGCTTTTTATTCTGGTCATGGAAACCTTAATACGAAATATAAATGAAGATAAAAATCTAAAAGGACCAAAAATTTTAAAACAGCAATATAAACTCAAAACCTATGCTGACGACGTGGTCTGCTTCATTGAAGACCCGTTGAGAAATATTATAGATTGGCTAACAAAAATCCAGGAATTTGGAACATTAGCAGGCTTTCACATAAACAGGAAAAAAACAAAATTACTAACTAAGAATTTGAGCAAGGAGGAGAAAGGCATCCTACAAAACATATCAGAGATACAAATCACAAATAAAGTAAAATATTTGGGAATTAATATTTCCAATAGCAATGCAACGTTAATAAAAGACAATTATATACCAGTATGGGAAAAGATAAGGAAAGACATGTTGAAATGGGGAAATAAAAACATCTCTTTTCTAGGAAAAATTGCTCTAGTAAAAATGACAATCTTACCACAGTTACTATTCCTTTTCCAAACTGTTCCAGTTATTAGGAATAATTTTCTTTTTAAAAGATGGAGCACAGATATTACCAAATTCTTATGGGCAAATAAAAAACCGAGGATTAGTAAAAAAATTATGACAGATGACGTTAAACGAGGGGGCTTGGGCTTACCAGATTTGAGAAGTTATTACGAAGCCTGTAACCTTGTAGCTATTAAAGATTGGGCAACACTTGAAAACAAACAAGTTCTAACTTTGGAAGGCCACGACTTAAGGGCAGGATGGCATAGTTACTTATGGCATGATCGAAGAAAAGTGGAAAAGAACTCAAACCACTTCATACGGGCAGCCCTAATCAAAACGTGGGAAAAATATAAAGCGAGATTTTTCAGGCACACCCCACTATGGATATCCCCAGTGGAAGCAAATCACAAAAAAGAATTAGGGGCAGAAACCTGGCTAACATATAATCAGCTATTGGAGGAAAATAGAGAAGGGAAGATGCTACTGAAACCATATGAGGAAATACGTAAATTAAACCCAAAAATGACATGGCTAAACTACTATCAAATCCGGGAAAGCTTCAAAAAAGATGGAAAAATAGGGTTTGAGAAAAAAAAGGGAATATGGGACATTGTCATGGGTAAAAATAAAAAAATGATTAAGTTACTATATAAACAACTACAAATATGGAATACGGAAGAGGAACAAGTAAAAGAATGTCAAATCAAATGGGCCCAAGATTTAGGACACAATATCATGACAAACCAATGGGAAGAAATTTGGACAACAAAAATAAAATATACTATAGCCAGTGACATAAAAGAAAATTGGTTTAAAATGTTTTACCGCTGGCATTACACGCCAGAAAAAATAGCAAAATTTCAAAAAAAACCTCAGCACATTTCAGATAAATGCTGGAGATGTAGAAAGAAACTAGGCACTTACTTCCACCAGTGGTGGGAGTGCAAAGAAATTAAAAAATTTTGGAAAAAAACTCATCAAGCCACACAAAAAATTTTGAAAGTTAACTTCCCATTAGCCCCAGAGACCTATTTACTAGGAATAACAAATGAAACCAAACTAAATAAAAACCAAGATAAAATTTTATTCCTATTGAGTACAGCAGCTAGAATAGTGTTATCCAGGAAGTGGAAGCAAAGAGAAGTACCAACTCAAGAGGAATGGATTATAAAAGCCTTTGACATTATTCAAATGGATAATTTATCCCAAAGAATAAATGGAGTGATCAATAAAACGGACTGGACTGGCTTCAAGGACTTTCTAATAACAAAGAAGATTTCAGTAATAATAGATTTGACGAACTTCTAAAAGATGGATATAGAAGAAACATTGTCAGCTTTTATAAACGAATGGAGTGGACTAGTCTACAACAGTAGGTGAAGACTTTTTGGAAGACCCTGGGAAGTCACAACGACAACAAATTGGTGTATTGGTGATGGCCCCTCTTT